GGGGCGGGAGGTGAACTACAGACCCTTGAAGTATGGCTGGTTTATTCTACTAAAAATAAGCATCTGCCTTAGGAGTGGCATTTACCCCCCGAAATCCCCTGACTTCACACGGTTCCTCTTTTTCTCCTTTTGTACTGCTGAAATGTCCATCAAGCTCCCTAAAAATATTCTCTCTATGAAAATGGGATGGGGAGATTTCCAGATGATTTTTCAAGCAAGAAGAAAGAAATTCAGTATGATTTAAGACACAGTATAGCTGCTTATCTTGTTTAACCTTCTCAGGTGTCCAAGAGTTTTCTGCTTTTAGCACGTTTTCTTCAAAAGCTCCACATCAAATGCAGAGACAGGTTTGCTTCTTGGCTAGCTTTGTTCCTTTCTTTTCATGTAAAATTCATGTGTATTTTCATGTATATTTTTCCAAATGTACACATCAATTGTGAATATACACATACTTCTCCCATGGACTGAAGTGTGTTTGTGCACATTTTTATATGCACATGTTTGTAATGTACACTTGTTCTTTTTCTTTTGGTCTGCAGGCCACATTCAGACTCAGAAATGTATGAATTTGGATTGCAGGTTGTTTCCATGAAAATAAGTCTGAATAAGTCCTGATCAGAACAATTTTTTTTCTCATCTGTCTCTGTCCCCTTCCAGCCACAGAAGAGCAGTGGGAGAGGGGAGTATTGTCTAAATTGGGATCCAGGCCTTAGTAAATTGTACACAAAAATGTGTTCTCTTTCCTTTGTCTCTGCTTCTACTTTTCTTTTTTATCAAATTTTATTGTTTTCTCTATAAATACAAAACTAAAACAACAATTATTCAGGACATCGGACATACTGGGTCAACATCTCACTCTTGTTTACACTCAACAACCAAATTCGGTTCTACGCATAGTCTCATTTCTCTAACCAATGATAAAAAGTGTTCCAAGTTTGACAGAAGTACGTATCTTCCTTCTCCTTCAAAGACAAGGTCAATCTGTCCATCTCTGAGCAATCCAAAATCTTTTTTAAAATCTACTCCTCAGTAGGTGGCTCTTCACTTCTCCAATGTTGGGCACATGCAATCCTCGCAGCGATAATTATATGTAAAGTCAAAAATATAGCTTGCTTATCGAGGTCATCAGGAATAATGCCTAATAGAAAAACTTCAGGTTCAAATATTAAAGTTTTTGCAGCTTTTCCTCAAGCCATTTGTGTATTTTAACCCAATATTTTTTTGCCTTAATACAAGTCCACCATATCTCTGCTTCTAATTTTCATTCATCATGTATTTATAGGCAGTGTTATTTCGGAAGAAAGAAGCCAAAATTCCCCATAACCAAAATTCCCTGGGTGGCACAGAGAGCCAAATTCAGATGTCATGTGGGTCAAATATGGTGGCCAAGCCTGAGGTTGAACAATTCTGCAGGACAGGAACGGATCTAACTGTGCATAAGACAATTTCCAGCACCCCTCTGTAAAAGTAACTCATGCATAGGAGGTGCTCTTGGGATATCCATGGATTCTGCTCACCATTTATGGTCAACACTGGCATATTGTACTTTAAAGCTCTTGCTGTCAGCAGCAAAACTTTAGAAGAGGCAATGCAACCCCTTAGAATGGAGGAAAAAGCCGCACGAAAGCTGGGAAATCACAGACAATGGAAGAGCAAAGGGGAAGGAGGGAAGGCCATGTAAAAATACAGAAAGGTAGGATTAGGAGGTAAGGAGGGCAGGATTTGGCACCCCAGGCCTTGCATCCCTGGTTTAACCCTTTCCTCCACCACTGTGGTCATGACCAAACCAACAACAACAAAAACATTCCTCTGAAATAGTTGTTGGGATTGTTTAAAAAAACCTCCCTGTGGTTCGTATCTCTTTAAAAACAATCCAATGAATGGTGTGCCAATACTGTGCATGTTTCTAAAGAAATCCATTTGTTATAGTTTCTTTGATGCTCAGCTGTCACTTGTGCTTTTCCCTTAAAAATGTGTGAACCCAAGAACATAAGAAGAACCCTGCTGGATCACACTAAGGTTTCATTCAGTCTGGTATTCCGTTCACACAGTGGTCAGCCAGCTCTGCACAGGGTCCCACCATCAGGACAACAGCCCCTGCCCAGGCTTCCCAGCAACCAGTGCACACAGGCACACTGCCTCTGATAGGAAGTAGCTGTAGCCATCAGGGCCAGTAGCCATGGATGAGCACCTCCTCGTGACTTTCTTCTGTCCCCTTTCAAAGCCAGCCAAAGGGATGATCATCCCTCCATGTCGTGGCAGTGAATTCCACCATTCCACTGTTTGCCGAGTGAAGGAGTCCTTCTTTGCTCGGTCTTGAATCTTCAGGGGACGACTCAATCTGATAGTGTCCGCAGGCCCTCCGGCTCCATGCGAGGCATGATGCAGTCCTGCCCAACTGCAGAAGGATGCACCTTGTGCAATGCATTCAGTTGCAGAAATTGCACCTGGGGCAGGAGATCACTCACGCGCAGTTCTGCATCGCATGTGGTGACCCATTCTAGGCCTGAGTTGGTTGGCCTTTGGCTCTCATACATCCGGAACAAAGGGAGAATGGAATTCGGGCCAGCATTCATTGCCTGGCAAGACATAATTCAAGCCGCCGATTTACGAGGGTTTGTTCCAGTCTAGCATGGGTCCCACACCCACCCGAGTGGGACTGCAGTGGAACTCGAGCGAACTCTCTTGCCCCTTCTTCCGCAGTCATATGTTCACACAGGAGCGTGGGCACGAGGCCCAAGAGGTCGGTGCAGTAAGTGAAGGGATGAGTCGTGCCTCTTCATTTTCGTTTATGCATTTGATTATTGTTGGGCAGCCATCTGTATGCATGATGAGGCTGTCCCCACCCGACACAGTGGCACTCAGCAGCTCTCGGGGCTTGCGTGGCAAAGCTTTTCCTAGCCCAGGGATGTTCTCAGCTCGTGTTCAGAAGCCCCTCAGTGCAACCTCATATTCATGATATCGTCTCTTCGAGAGAGGGAGATCAAAGCTTTGCAGTAGAGTTGAATATATGTGCATTTTCCATGCTCAGGAATGCAGTTTAAATAGAGCTCTGAGATGAAGGCTGAAAGATTAGCATGATAAGCCAATATGATGAATACCCTCTTTTGGAAAATGAATAGATTTGTGCCTTTCTGTGGTTAACCAGCTCAAACAGCACGAGAATTAGATATTTAACAGTCTTTTTTCCATAGTTGCTGTGTCTTCCTTGCAAATCCGATCCATATCTTACAGTATGCGACAGATTAGGGGATAAGATAAGCCCAGTTCAAGCATTATCCTAACCGGATACACTCAACATGCAAACTCGGGTAGTGCCAAGGCAACCGGCTGCATCCCCAGCACCCCTCTGGCTCAGCATGCGCATGTATGTATGACTCACATGCCAACAATGTAGCGCTTCCCATGCATTGATCTGCATGAGGAGAGACTTCCACACAGTTCTAAATGATCTGTAGGATCTGGATTCTGAATTTCAAGGGAGCCTTCGCAGATATGGATAAGCACCGGACGCCCCCCTTGCTGCAGAAGCTCATTCTTCATGAAGAAAACGTCCATAAACACCTATGGACAAAAGTTACAGTGTGAAATGACAACAGGAGCAGTGCAAACCCATCCCAGCTCAGTTAGGATCATGCCTGGATAGGGTACCCAAACGTTTTGGCACGTATTCAGAATCTTTTCAGGTGAACAAGCAGGGTTATAGCTACGCACACATGCACCAACTTTGGGTTTCATTTCTCATGTCACAGCCTCACGAGGACAAGAAATTGATCTCAGGGCAAAGCCATGTAGATAATGATGAGGGATAAGATCGGTAGATTTCTGGTCTATGTCAGTTTTGCATGGGTTCCATTTTCTCACTGATCTGTTATATATCTGCACAGATACTCCTATTTAAAGATGTACTTAAACACTAATTTTGAATGTATTTTATCACAGAACATGCATTTCTAAATGCATTTTCTCTTAATGTACCTTTCTCTAAACCTTCCTTATATAGAGAGGGGGGTGCTTTGGGGAACAGAAGCTGCAATGCATTTAATTCTAAAAGATAATTATATTCTCATCCCCTCATTAGTTCTGGATGTGTGGAACAGGTCAGTTCACTAAAAAAAAAAAGAGAAAGAAGGACCACACTAATTTCTCAACCAATCCTGATAATGGGTAATTTGGTTCCTAATATTTCTCATAGAATTCTCTGGAATAAGATGCATGTGTGCCATGCAGTCTGAAGGGAAAACTTGCTGCTATCAAATCCATAATAAGAGTTCTGCTGAGTCAGGCCAATGATGGTCTCATGCAGCATCCAGCTTTGCATAGTGGCCAACCAGATGTTTCTGCAACTGGGATGGGGAACCTCTGTCCCATGGCATGGTCCAGCTGAGAACTGTAGAGGCTTGGGCTCCCCCTGTGGGTTCTTCCCACTCTGCAAACGCCACTCCTTGGAGGCTACATGGGGCTTGGAGAAGGAGAATGGCTTCTCCCGGAAGAGAATTGCTTCACCAGAGAAAAGAATTGCTCTGCAGGATAGCTTGGTCTCTCCTTCTACCACGGCCTCCCAGAGCCTTCTGGGCACATGAAGGGGGAAGCCTGTCAGCTACAGTCAGAGTTCACATCTCATAGTGGCAGTGCCGTTCTTTAGCATGTTTCCTGTGCACCAAGACCCACTCCTGAGACACATTTTAGTAATTTGATGTAGCATAGCTTTCAATGGGCACTCAAGGTATGCAGATCTTTAGCTTAACTTCTGTGTATTTGGGGATTTCTGTGCTTTGCAGAGTAGCAGAATAAGCTCACCTGTTAAGGTGGCCTTACTGAACCACCTGAGACATTCATTCCCTCCCCATCAGAAGAATCACAGTAGCACTGAGCCCAACACGGCAGGGTGTATTTTAATATCACCGTGGGATATCTGAAGGAATGTACTTGTTGCTGGCAATGTGGCAGACAGCAGCAGCACAGTCTGACTCATCTGCGTGGTCTTACCCCTGTTTTAGGATGACGTGGCCCAGCCGCTGAACCTCTCGGCAAAACCTAAGACGGCGGACAGCAAGTCTCCCACCTCTCCCACCTCTCCACACATGCCAGCGCTGAGAATAAACAGCGGGAGCAGCTCGCTCAAGTCCTCTGTGCCGGCAACGTTAGCTAGTCCTTCGGCCAGAGTCAACACAGTAGGTAAGTTCTCTCCCTTCTCCTTTTTGGCACAGGACCTGATGCACAGGGATAGGTGAATCAGTGAAGTTCCGGCTTGACAAAGGTCTCCACATTCCATCTTAAAGCACGTTCTGACTCAAGTATGTGTCTGAGTATGGGCTCTTTCCCCTTTTCCAGCGAAAATTTGCGTGCATTTTCAGGTGCATGTATGAATCAGCTGCATGCACGCCTGAGATGCATGCATGCACCTCTTGCTTATTAAAGTGCTGTGCATTTTATAAGAGTGCGCATTTTTCATCTACATTTGCAAACATGTGTGCTGCAAGCTCAGACAGGTATGGACTTTGACTGCAGGTTGCATCCAAATCTGTGTTTGCTCCACGTTTTATTGTAAGCCACCCAGAGAACCCTATGGGCAATGGGGTGGTATACTACTACTATTATTATTCCCATTCAGAGGGTTTCTGAATTAAATTTCTCCTACATCCCTACTGGCAAGGAAACCTGGGAAGGCATCATCTCAAGGCCCCTGCCCTCAATTCTCTGCTGTTTATTCAGAAAAAATAAGTGATCCTCTAAGGCCAAAGGAGAATGTGTTGCTTAAAAAGTGGGGGAGGGAAGAGCACCCCAGAATGAATGTTGAGCTATCAACTTCACCTATTTCAACCCTAAGCCTTTTCTGTTTGGAACTGACAATGGCTTCTTTTCTTTTCTTTTCTTTTCTTTTCTTTTACCGTTGGCAATTTTTCTTTAGCTAGGTAGATAAGTCCCTCGCAGCCCTACATTTTGAGGCACCCTTTTGCATTCAGCTCTCCACAGACACATTTTTGAAGCCAAAAGTTTTCCATGGACAGTTTACACAGACCCTCTCCTAAAATACAGCCAATGTGTCTTCCAATTTCACTAGCCACAATCTGTGCATAGCAAATTTTGTGATGGCAGTTTCGCACAGTACTAATTTATATAACACTTTTGAACTTTCAAAGCAATTTAAATTAGGGCAAGCCTACATTTTGACTATGAAAACAAGTGGTTCATAAGTTATCCTAACCTATGTAGGGCTTTAAAAGCCCAGAAGCAAATTGCCACCAGTAAGACTGTAATATGAAGTGCAATATAATCAAAATACGTGGGTGATAGCCACCTGAAACATTTTTCAAAGGCAGGTCCACGTGACCCCTAATAAAATACCCCTAAGAAGATGGCCCAAGGTTCTCGCATCCCATCTCTGCATTGAGTGAAATATTTGCCCCATTGCAATGGTGGGTTTTTTTGGAACTCTTGCACACATAAAAGCGTGGCAAGGAGCCGTTGGGGTTAGTCTACAAACGGACCAAAACTGACTCTTGTAGAGCCGGCAAAAGCACTCTAATCAAGACCGGCCAGCTTCACAAGAGCTGCACGCTCTTCTTAATTCTCCAGATAAAATCTTTTCTTTCCTATTTTCTGGTATCTTTCCTATTTAGAACCCTTGCCATTCCTCCCCTCCCTTTCAGGGAAATGTAGATTTTGAAAGGCTGTACCTGTAATGAGTGATAATGTAATTGGATAAAAGCTGTGAGGATGACTGAAGTTGGAAAGGTCACTCTTGTAAGGAGAATTAATGTGTTATACCATTAATAAACCATGAGAAACTGTGGACCAAAAGATAACATACTTAAGTTATTGTTAATGACATAGACTTCACAGCCGTATATCTTTGTGGGACAGATATAGAAAGGGACTTTTTGAGGTTACGGAACGGCACTGCAGTGCGTGCTATCTGGGATAACATAGCCTAGTTATTTCACAACTTCCTACAAAGAACGTACATCTTTTGCTGGTAGTTACCAGTATAGATGTGTGAGGAATCTGACAGGACCTTACAATTCAGCTCCCAGGATTCCAGTTCGTTAGCCCTAAACTGGAGCCATCTTGCTGTGGTGTTAGTGGCACTTGCTCAAGAAATTCCATCACTAAAAATCACAAAGCAGATCACAATCTGTGCTTTTTTTAAATAACTAATGAATTTTGCACAAAGAAACTCCTAAAAACCATGTGGCTCTGGTACAATCTGCAGTATCAGCTGATTTGTGCAAATCAAACTCGATGCAAATTTCACTTTGCACAAATTAGCCAATTTTGGACTAATCGTGCTTGATCAACATGGTTTTTGAATGTGCATTTAAGGAAAATCAGCCAATTTTGGACAAAAAACAGTAGATCTACATAGTTGCCATGTACTCATTTGTGAAATTACGTTAGTAGTTTTAAAAAAACAGATAATCCACAGTCTGATCATTAGAACGGATCAAATGAACCAGATTTCCCTGTTTCAGAACTTAAGTAACAGTCAGTAGAGGGCAGAACACCAAATATTTACTTTTGACCCATCTATGTACATCCCCACACATGCAACCGAATAAAGGACAAAAAGTGGCACTGATTTTCATAGATTTCTCACACATCTACATAGGTGACCTGTTTGCCTTGCTCAGCCTTCTGTCAAGGTACTATTTGTTGATGAGTAACTTTGATGGCCCATATTCCCTTCTTTTAGTAATTTAAATCAAGCATGAGCTGGAGAGACCTTCTAATAGATGGATAATTCAAGATATCCATGTTTTGAACTGAGTTGGCACTTGCAATAACAATAACACACATACACATGCATGCACACGCATGCACACACACAACCAAGAGAACTGTGTGGTGTAGTGGTTAAGAGCATGGGACTGGGACTCAGATGACCTGGGTTCTAGTCCCCGCTCGGCCATGGAGCCAACTGGGTGACTTTGGGCCAGTCACAGACTCTCAGCCCAACCTACCTCACAGGGTTGTTGTTGTGGGGATAAGATGGAGGAGGAGAATGATGTAAGCTGCCTTGAGTCCTTTGTAGGAAAAAGGCAGGATATAAATAGATAAATAAATAAATAAATAAATAAAACTGTTTTGGTTAATGGGTGGTATAGAAATCAAATCAATAAATAATTCTTTTCTTTTATAACTTTTCTTTTATAACTTCTTTTATATCTTTTATATTTTTATTTATTTTATATTGTTAATTTTAATTTGATACTGTTATTTTTGTATTTTATTGTATTTTATTGTGTTGTAAGCCACCCCGAGGCTTCGACAAGGGGCGGCATAGAAATGTTCAAACAAACAAACAAACAAATAAAATATAGGGAGAGAATCTAACATATTGCATTATCATCTATTTTCTTGACAAATGCCAGCCATCTGGAAACAAATATTTTATTATTTTATTTTATTACTATACTGTACTATACTATTTTGCAGATAAAATGCCAACCCCCCTTTTTTGGACAATCGTTCCCTAGGGCAGCTAATCTAATATTGACCCAGTAAAAAAGAGACAGTGATCCTTGGCTGGGTCTGCTGCTCTTCACGATTAGGCACAATCAGCAGGTGGTGGGCTGGGCATGTCCAGACGCTCATTTTAATTTTTGTACTGTAAAAATGCATTCCTTTTCTATGACAAAATGGCATATCTACCCAGGTAAATGCATTTAGTGTAGGATAGCAAAAGCGAACCATTTGTTGTTGTAGATATGATAGTGGAGTTTGATAAGCCAGACTGCCGGTGCTCAGAGTACTCCTTTCACTGTTAAAGTTAGGTTTTTGTTTTGGCTTTGTGCTAATCAGAGGTGGAGAAACAGTTGTGCTGCGTGCAGCTACTGTAGTAGAGCGAGCGGGGTGGTGGGAGGGAGCTGTTACCTGCCTGCTTGACAACTGAAGCAATGCCCATGCTTGTCTAAAGGGATTCACCCAAAAGGCAATTAAGCCCAGAGTCTGAAATGGCCTGGCTGCACTACCGCAGAACAGATCTGTCCAGCCATGCAGAAGGGGCCACATAAAATAACATGATCAAATAATATGATCCATGAAGAAGCTATTATGGCTTCGTTCTTTCAAATTGATTAGTGCGTGTGTGTCTTTTCAAACTTTTGTTTAATTTTAACTTTTCTTAACTGCCCAAAGAGTCTATTGAGCTATTGAGTGGCATGAAAATAAAATAATAAAATAAAACTTTAAGATAAGATAAGATAGCATCAAGGTGAATGAAAAGTTCCCCCCACCCCATTCCTGAGACGTCACCCCCAACTTGTCTTGCTAAGGGGAGCATTCCAAAGTGGAGGAATTCAAGAGTGGAGGCTTCACTTCTAAAGGTGGGAGACCTGGAAAAGGATCTCTGAGGGAGACCCGATGGGTGCTTAACTCTTTCCCCTCCCATCAATTTTCCCTTGCAAAACCCACTTGCGCCACAATCTGGCAAACTCACATCTGGCTGTGGGAAAAAGAAAAAAGAAAACGGCCAACAGTGTCCATGCAAGAGGAAGCAGATGGCAGAGAAAGATGAGATCACCTTTCTTCCTCTAACCTGGATATTAGACTCAAGACTTTTGTGAAGGTATATACTCAGTTTCCCCTGCACCCAAAATAGCCTCAAATAACATTAACCCACTACCTCTCTTCTTTTCTGCTGCCTTCCCTCTGCTATAAAATTTCAACTGGGCACCTTCACTGCTCAATGCATTTTGTGTAATGCAGTTCTCTTTTCCTGTCAGTGGTGTGTCACCAGCCCTAAACAATAACAACAGCAGCAACAAAAACTGCTTTCTATTGGCATCTACGTTAAATATTTTTTCCTGCACACCAGCGTCTTGGCAGCACCTAGAAAACATACAGGCTGCTTGCTTCCCAGCCCCCTGTTCCTTCGCTGTCTGGTGCCAAACGTTCTCCAAGATGGCGGTGCTTACGGAGGGGAAGGGAACACACCCAGATAAGCTGGAGGAGGGCAAGGGATCCTGTTCTTAAGCTCTTCTGGAAGGAGAGGGGAAGGCCGCTGAGAGCAGCATTTCTGCTCAAACTGAGTGGAACAGGATTCATGTGGGCAGTGCCTTGGTGGTTCACCCCTTGAAATGGGCAGTGGCAATGCCCCTGCAGTTGTTGCCTTCTTTGCAGCTATGAGGATTAATCTCGCCATGTCTGTGTTCGTTGGAAAACATGCGGCGCGG